GAGTGGACGTGCTGGGTGTGGGTGTCAAGATCCTTAGAAAAAATCAAAATGTCATCAAGGTAGACAAAAACAAAAACATTGATAAAGTCCCTGAGTACGTCATTTACTAGGGCCTGAAAAACAGCGGGAGCATTGGTTAATCCGAAGGGCATGACGAGGTACTCGTAGTGGCCTGAAGGGGTATTGAAGGCCGTCTTCCATTCATCCCCTTCACGGATCCTGACAAGATGGTAGGCGTTACGTAAGTCTAACTTGGTGAAAACCTTAGCACCCTGGATGATATCAAAAGCAGAGGTCATAAGTGGCAAGGGATATTTATTCTTGATCGTAATGTCATTGAGACCACGGTAATCAATACAGGGGCGAAGGGACCCATCCTTCTTCCCCACAAAGAAAAAACCAGCCCCGGCAGGAGAAGATGAAGGACGAATAATACCAGCTTTAAGRGAGTCAGAAATGTATGACTGCATGGCCTCGTTTTCTGGTTGAGACAAGGGAAACAGGCGGCCTCTAGGAGGTGTGGAACYAGGTAGCAAATTAATTGCACAATCATATGGTCGATGYGGGGGTAAAGAAGTGRCCAAACTTTTACTAAACACCTGTTTWAGGTCATGGTAGCACTGGGGGACATGAGACAGATCAGGTGATACTTCTTTTATTGATTTCTTAGTGGATGACATATTAGCAGACTTGAGACAATGGGTTAGACAGTAATCAGACCAACCTAGGATGTTATTWGACCTCCAGTCAATATGAGGGTTATGTCTGCGTAACCAAGTGGCTCCTAATACAATGGGTAGATCTGGAGATTTAATTGATAAAAATTTTATTGTCTCCACATGATTACCACCAATACAAAGTTGAAGTTCTTGGGTTTGTTGGTTGGTGGGGCTTAACGGATGACCATCTAATGCCACGATTCTACGGAGTGATTCGGTGGGTCTCATCTGTATGCCCAGGGACAAAGCAAAGTCAAGATCTATAAAGTCTGTGTCAGCTCCAGAATCAATAAATGGTTTGACTGAGTGATCCTTACCATTAACCCTTAACAGGGCGTTGACACGGGGAAGGCGTGGTTCTTGGTACGATGCTCTGAACTCGTGGGAACWGCCTCTGGAAGATCCTGGTTTGAGGGTGCAGACTTTAGCTTGGTGACCCCTTCCTCCACAGTAGAAGCAAAGACCCTGCTGGCTCCTCCTTAATCTCTCCTCCTGAGAGAGCTTGGTCCTTCCAATTTGCATGGGCTCCACATTAGTTGGTGGTGACGGTGGTAGRGATCGGGCTTCCAGTCTTTGAACGGGTGAACTAGGACGAGATTTATGAACATAGACTGTTGTTTTTTGTCTCACCTCACGGCGGCGCTCCTGTAGCCTAAGGTCAATCCTGGTAGCCAGGTTCTCCAGTTCTCTGAGGGACGATGGGGGATCTCGAGTTGCCAACTCGTCCTTAATCTCGTCACTTAGTGCCTGCCAAAACACATCCTGTAGTGCCTCCTCATTCCACCGACTATCAGCTGCTAGGGTATGAAAGTCAATGATCAGATCCGTCACTCTACGGTTACCCTGGCRAAGCTTTAGTAGAGCACGAGTCGCCTCCTTGTGGGGTAACTGAGGACTGAAGACATGAATTAGTTCATGAGCAAAATCACAATACTTATAACAAATGGGTGAATCCCTCTGCCATTCAGCTGTGCCCCATAATTTGGCTTTTCCAGAMAACAGTGAAACAACATAGGCCACCTTGGACCGCTCTGAGGGAAAAGCTGAAGGTTGAAGCTCAAATTGAATCTCACACTGGGTGAGAAAAGCACGACATTGTGTGGAGTCACCATTAAAGGMTTCTGGTGGGCAGAGCCTGGGTTCAGAATGAGACATGGTTTTAGGTGGTGATACTTGAGAAGGGCCAGTAGATGGAGCCAGAGGATAACAAAAAAATTCAGATTGGTGTTTTTGACTAGGAAGTGCCTCAGACTTTAAACCAGAAGGAAAAAAAATAAAACTGCTTGTGAGAGGGGTGGAAGGTGATGGCGTGAAACTCGTTTTGGCCAGATTTAATGTAATGAATGGGGGATTGAGTTTCACAGAGCCAAACACCAGAGCAGTTTTAACAAGTTTATTGAAATAGTGAATACTGGAT